AAACATAGCTATGAATGTAATATTTCTGCCAATAGATAGATCATAAATGTTACACACTCATCCTTTAATTTGTGTGTGTGTGTGTGTGTGTCTTTGCAGCCACCTATTAATCCCATCTCTGCCCTCTTAAGTGGCTAAATGATACTATCTGCTAGAGTAGATTCATCTTGTTCTACCATTTAACAGTTTTAATAAACTGCAACCACAGACTGAGTAAAATAAAATAGCTATTTTACCAGAAGAAAGTTTCTGACAGCATCCTGCTAAAAGTAAAACAGACATGACACCAATTTTGTTTTCCAGGTACCATAACACACTGCCGGAGGAGATAAAATGCTCAGCTTTCTCTGCCTGTATACCTTCTTCACTCCTCTCTCACTCGCTGTCTTACTCACTCACTCACTCCTTCACTCATTCATACACTCCATCACACGCACACATTGCTGTAGCGCCCAGATAAAACATTCCCGCCGAGTGTGAATGCGGGGAGAAGAAAAATGACATTGGGTAATCACAGTGAAGCATTACCAGTCATTACTCTGCGCTGTCACTCGGAGATGAGAGACAAGGCTGCAAGTCACACGAATCCATGACTGCCTGCAGTCGGCCAACGCTAGATTGATTCTCTTCCTCCTTCCTCCTCTCATCGTGTTTTCTTTTTTCTTTGAGAGCCGCAGTTTATGAGTCAGCTTTGGTGAATTTGTTCTTTACTTCCTGGAAGGTGGACAGCTGAGTGAATCCGCTACATCTGCAGGTTGACCTTGAATGAAATGAAGATTGCTTCGCCAACAGAGGCCATGCTGCTACTACAGATAAAGCCAGAGGAATGGGATGTATTGCTGAGACGCAGAGCGTTTACAGACTGAAATAATGCTGTTTGCTTTTTGATGAAAATAAAACTATTTACTATTGCCATGATTCTATAATATATCTCTTGGTTATACTGTGGTATATAATCTAAAGTGGCACATGGTAAATAAAGTGGCGTTTCTTGTAGTGATGAACAGACAGAGAATTATCAGCTGAATCTGCAGCTCTCGTCAGCTTTATTGAGCTTTATAGTGAGTTTCAGCTGTCAGGGCACACAACCTTACTGATATAGTTCACTCTTACCACCCTAAAACGTGTTTCCTGAGCTGTAAACTAAACTATATGACTTTACTGTGATGAAACAATCAATGCTGGTGTCAAAATTGACATTCTTATCAAATTGATGAAAATCTGCATTTTATGGGTTGAAGATGTCCCTCTACTGTTTTAAATCCCCCTGAACCTTTTAAGTCCCCCAGCCTCTGGGTTGAGTGCGAGTCGGAGAAACCGCTATGCTCATTTTCAAATGTATACTGATCAATTTAGGAGTTTATGCTAGTTTATACTAACCATCTACTGAGTATTTTTTCTACTCTGGCGCCTTGGTTCAGACATTAGACAGATGTAGAAGC